AAAAAAAAAAAAAAAAGAACTATTTTTTAAAAGACAAAGATTCACTATTGGTATTTCATAATTGGTACTTAAATGAGTGCCTAGGTTCAGTTAAATAATTATCTTAAGGTTTTAAAAAAGCTATATATTAATAATATATAAACACTCATATTTAGTGTTTATTAATGTGCCAGATACCATTTTACACGCTTTACTTATATCTGTTACATCTGTCAATTAACTTAATATTCATATCAGTTTGTGTGATGTAGGCACTATTATTCCCATTTAAACAATTTGGAAAATGAAGCACAGAGGGGTTAAGGTCCCACAGTTAATAAGTGATGTCACTAGGGAAAGAACCTGGATTCTAAATCCCTAACTTGGAAGTACTGTTCTCCTTCTCAGTAATGCTACAATGTAATCATGACTTCATCTCTGTGGCTTGAGTAAAACCCAGCTTTCTGACTCAGCTTTGTCCTTTTCTTAAAAGTTCAAAGCCATTTGTCCACATTCTAACAGAAAATATATCACTCTTGCTTATAATTTAATAGAAGAGAAGGTCACATTTGTTCTTTCAAAGATCTTACTGTCTTCCCTTACTTCTTGGCCAGATAAAGGAGACAAGCAACGAAATCATCTTATATATTTAGGTATCAAATATGTTATTATGAGGGTTTTAGAATATGCCCAGTATGTGATACTCCTAAAAGATGATCTCCAAATATGAAAGTAGAAGGAATGTAATTCGTCAGTTTATAGTGTTTTTTTATAATTTTTTTTTGATACTTTAAGTTCTAGGGTACATGTGCACAACATGCAAGTTTGATACATAGGTATACATGTGCCATGTTGGTTTGCTACACCCATCAACTCATCATTTACCTTAGGTATTTCTCCTAATGCTATCCCTCCCTCAACCCCTCACCCCGCAACAGGCCCCACTGTGTAATGTTCCTGTATCCAAGTGATCTCATTGTTCATTTCCCACCTATGAGTGAGAACTTGTGGTGTTTGGTTTTCTGTCCTCGTGATAGTTTGTTGAGAATGATGGTTTCCAGCTTCATCCGTGGCCCTGCAAAGGACGTGAACTCATCCTTTTTTATGGCTGCATAGTATTCCATGGTGTTTATGTGCCACATTTTCTTAAACCAGTCTGTCATTGATGGACATTTGAGTTGGTTCCAAGTCTTTGCTATTGTGAATAGTGCCGCAGTAAACATATGTGTGCATGTGTCTTTATAGTAGCATGGTTTATAATCCTTTGGGTATATACCCAGTAATGGGATGGCTGGGTCAAATGGTATTTCTAGTTCTAGATCCTTGAGGAATCACCACACTGTCTTCCACAATGGTTGAACTAGTTTATAGTCCCACCAACAGTGTAAAAGTGTTCCTATTTCTCCACATCCTCTCCAGCACCTGTTGTTTCCTGACTTT